TAGTACTTGGGTATTTATTTCAATATTTCAAGAGTATGTTCATTTAAAGAAAGAATCCTAGAAATTTATAACTTTTTTGATAGTTTCCCTTTATGGTCTTGATAGGTAAAGAAATTATACCTTATCCTAGAATTTCATGTGCATGTTATATCTGATCTAAATGTAGATTTTTTGTTTAGTTTCAAAATCAATGGCTTTCCTTGGTTGACAGATCGTTTTTTAATCACATTAATATTCTTTCTTGAGTTGCAAATAAAACCAGTTCCCATCAGATTTGATAACAAAACATTTGTATTGCTTAATCACAGTATTCCTTTGCTTTGTTGGCCCTGTATATTTAGTTTGTCAGTTGGAGGGAGCTTCAATAATTGATGCTTGAAGCAAATGAAGCTGATTTATGTGTTGACCTCGTCAGAGTGCTAACAAGTCCACAGGAGATTGTTGGACTTATGTAAACTAACCATGTGTTTCTAAGGAGACTGTTGATGCAGTCTTAGCCTCTCTTCCACACCTGCCGCGTGATGTCTCAGTTTTCATTCTGTTAGGACCTCCTTGGCAATACTGTTAATTGTTTACCCATGATGCACTCCATTTCCTCCTGGTAAACATTTTTGTTATCTTCGAGGAGAGAACGGACTCCCTTGCACACACATATATATATATACACATATACATAAAAAGTAGTAATAATAACCCTAATACAAGAGTATATCTCTTGTGATTGACCTCTTATTATTTGAGATTACCTTGTTATGTGGGATAGTAGTTCATGTTCTTAATAAACAGTTGCATGCATTTATAAAGATTTGTCCTGTAATTGACGACACTTTGTTGTTTTAGCTGCTCTAGTATGAATAATGTTCTGGGAATATCCTTATGTCTAATTGTGTATAAGTAAGCTTATCTTGGGTGCATACATAGCAGTAGATCACAGGGATCCTTTAGATATTCATATATTTGGCTTTCGTAGGTCGAATAGTATTACAAGTTGTACCAATGTATATTCCCATTAAATCACATCCAGCTAAATCCCATTTAATTCTAAAAGTTGTTGCTCTGCCTTAACCAATGCTCCATTTTGCTACCTTTCTTCACATGATGGTATTCTGTTAGGGTCTTAACTACTACGTGTCATGGAGTAATCAGTAAGAGCAAACTTGTTTTCCTATGTTGATTGCATATAATGTTAGAAAAAAATGTTTCCTGTTTATTTACAATGTGTGTTTCTTAGTTCCTGTCCTAGAAATTGGGCTGTTAGACTAAAGGCTTCCTCTTGTGTGGGACATTTTCTTGTTATAGAGTGAAAACAAAGAAAATAAAATCAACAAAATGACTATCCTATGCTTGGGTTAAATGTTGTGTGTCCATAATCCAGAGGCCAAAGCCTATTACAAAACTGTGCTCAATGTCAGTGAGGCAGGAAGTTGTTCTCCCAAGACAGGCATTCAAGTCATGGGACGGTGCAAATGGAGGAGCGTGATCCTTTCACAGGAAAGGACAAAGAACAGGTGTTAGACAGTAGTCACAGTCTACTGCCACTTGGTGAGATGCTGCTCATTTTCTTTCATTTGTATCTTAACTCTTTTTCTCATTTCTTGTGTTTTGTTCTTTTATATACTTTTAAAAGTTTTTTAAAAAAGGCTTTTAAGGTTATAAATGCTTTGTTGATTATATACAATACAAACATAATTTCTTTCACTTATTCTTTTACTCTAAATACAAAACTTAAAGTGTGTATCTGTATTTTTTCTTTGCATTTATGCTTTTTTGTTGTTGTTGTGTTGTTAGTTGTTTGAGACAGTTTCTCTGTGTACCTTTGGGTGGTCTGGAACTTGATTCTCCTGCCTCAGCCTCTGGAATGCTGGGGTTTCAGGCATACACCTAGTTATTTTTTTGTTTCTTGTGTAAGAAATAGTGTCATACTCCATAATCCCAGAGTTATATTCCATTGTCTTCTGTAGTTTATCATTTTTCTTTTTACATTTTAGTCTGTAGTCCATGTAAACTTTTTTTTTTTTCGCATTTAAACATGATCATTTTTAGAGTATTCCGTGAAAGAGTTGCTTAGATAATAAGAATTTTAAAACTGTCTCAACAGGCCCAGCCACTGGTCCTAATTGTGTGAGTGAAAGAAATGAGTAATTGTGAAAAGCAGAGAAAGGAAACTTAATTAGCATGCACTAGGAAGAGAAACATAAAGAGGGGTCACCCTGTCTGAGTCCATCTTTGTTGTACTGAAGTAGGATTAGATAGAGGAAGCATGGTGGTGGATAGGCAAGAGGTATGTGGAGCTAAGCACTGCTGATCTAGGTGTAGTTTGTCTGTTCATTGTTTCTTTTCTGGTTCTGCATGATGGTCAGAAGTTATTCTTCTTAGTCTAGGGGACAAGCTGGTTCTCAGATTAGTCCCGCTCCAGAGTGCTGCCTTTCCATTATGGACAGTTACCCTCATTTGAGTCATAGTTAGTTGTGTGAGGTTCTGTTATTTCTGGACTCCTTGATGACTGCAGGTTTAGGACATTGGAGACCTTTCAACATTTTGTGGGGATCTGGAATAGGATATTATAAAAAGCTGACAATAAGGTGCCTCAGGTACTCTTATATTTGTTTTTTTTGTGCCTTTAAGTGAAATAAAGAGGTTACTTAGGTATTACCTTTTTCCTAGGTAGTGATTAAGGTGCAGAATTAAGGTGTAAAGTTGCAAAGTGAGAGGAGAGACACCAGAATTTTATCCTGCTTTTAGTTACTTGGTGGGCCCAAGTGACAAGTTGATGTTTGGTTGTTTTGTTGTTGTTGTTTGTTTTGTTTTGTTTTTTCGAGACAGGGTTTCTCTGTATAGCCCTGGCTGTCCTGAAACTCACTCTGTAGACAAGGCTGGCCTTGAACTCAGAAATCCACCTGCCTCCCGAGTGCTGGGATTAAAGGTTTGCGCCACCACCACCCAGCAATGTTTGTTTGTTTTTTTATTTTATTTTGTTTTTATTTTTTAGTCTGGTTTGTTTATTTATTTATTTATTTTTAGCAAAGACAGGTTTTAAGAGCCTTTTACCAAACCAGCTTTATTTTGACATGAAGCATATTGATACTAAAGATACATATATGTAGAGGATATATTAGCAAAATACGTTTTAGCCAAATTCCTTATTTTCAAATCATGTTGGATGTGTGTGTGTATGTGTGTGTATGTATATACATACAATTTTTTTTCAAGATAAGATTTTTCTGTGTAGCCCTACCTGTCCTTGAACTCCCTCTGGAAAACACGCTGACCTTGAATTCAGAGATCTGTCTGCATCCCAAATGCTGGGTTTAAAGGTTTGTGACACCACCACCTGACAAGTTACTACTATATTTAAAACTCAAAACCTTAACTTTATCTGCAGGTAGACAAAATTTGTTCATTATTGGATCAAAAAGCACAGTAATACCTTTATATCAGAAATTAGGGGTTTCTGTGCTTTAACAATCCTGGTCTTTTAGGAGAGTTGGGATTTGAAATTTTTCTTTCATCCTAGTTGGTTAATTCCTTTGTTTATGGGTGTGTCTTTGTTAAACTTGAGTAAAAGAGTCAAGGGTTAATAATTTCTGGATGCTTAAAACATTTTTGTGTAAATAGTTGTTTTTGTAGTAATGCAGACAACTTTGGAGGTTAGTTCTTCCACAGGATCCAAAATGTTTTATTAAGGGCTGGAGAACTACCTCAGTATCTTTAAGAGCCAAAGGTTCATTCCCAGCACCCACAGTGGGCAGCTCACAACAATCTCTTAACTCTTTTTCCAGGAGATCTAACACCTCCTTCAGACCTCCATGAAACCCCAGCCCCCACAACATACATTTACACAAGAAAACACTTAAGTTTATAATGAAAATAAAGTATTTGTGGTAGTATTATTCTAAAATTTATATAGTTACTTGAAAATTAAGTTTTATCACCCAATGAAACAAAATATTTATTTTTTAAAAAAATTTACCAGGATGAACAAAATTGATCAATTTGAAGTAGATTGGTTTTGCCTTTTATTTCATATTTATTATCCTTTTATAACCTTGGTTATCTGTATTAGGATTATAATGAAAGTGCTTATCTGATACATTTTATCATTGAGTATTCAGATGTTCAAATAGGATAGAACTCTTGCTTGAACAGGTCTAGTGGCTCATCCTCAGCCCCTGTACTCAGAAGGCTGAGGCAAGAGCATAGAGAGTTCACCACTCAATCTTGGCTATATAACAAGACACGTATCTCAGAAAAGCCAAGGTCTGATGCTGGAGCTGAGTCATGTTTGCCCAGCATGGTCAAATCCCCAGTACCAGAAGACAGACACTTCTCTCTTACCCTAAAGAAATAAATTTCTAAAAACATTTGCTTAAGAAATAGTATACACCAAAGATAGTTTTTAGGATTAATGCTAGTAGAAATTAATAATTATAAAAAATTTGACAAGTATAGATACAAATTGTATCCTTGTAGCTCTATTTTTAAAAATGAGTATTGAGCCGGGCAGTGGCGGCACACGCCTTTAATCCCAGCACCTGGGAGGCAGAAGCAGGCGAATTTCTGAGTTCAAGGCTAGCCTGGTCTACAGAGTGAGTTCCAGGATAGCCAGGGCAACACAGAGAAACCCTGTCTCAAAAAAACAAAACAACAACAACAAAAAAAGAATATTGAAAGTCAGGATTCTTAGAATGTTAAATAAATTATTTTCATGGAAATAAAAACTGTCAGAATGTAGTCTCCTGAATATAGTTTAGTACTTCAAACACAGAACGATTGGAATTGTCATAGGCATTTGCAAAATTATGTCCCCAGTGTTTTGCGATAGATAGATAGATAGATAGATAGATAGGCATCTGCTGTAATTTTTCCTTACCACACAGTTTGCTCTCAATCTTTTTAAATATCTTTATACTTAAATAAAATAGCACTTTTGGTAAGTTTAATAGTAAATATAAACCATTATTTTAAAACTTGCTTTATTGAGTACTAATTTTGCTTTTCAGCGGGGATCTGATGAGCTTCTTTCTTCTGGTGTCACTAACGGACCTTCTACCATGAACAATTCTACTCCTTCTGCAGGTGTGTATGGTAAGTTTGAACACCTCATCCTGTGTTTTCTTTCTGTGAGCTTTTTTTTTCTCATTGTTCTTATGTGCCACTGTTTACAATAAAAATTTGTGAATTTTACTCAATAAGAGAAGTGGAAAAAGTCAGCTTAAGGAAAAAAATAATATTGAAGAAATTTAGGAATGGGTTCACCATGTTGTACATCTACCCTAAAATAATTAATTGGGACTATTTTGTAGGCAGAGAATTTGTTAATATAAACATGTAAACAGTGATATGGGAGTTGAGACTAAAGCCAACTTTATGACTCTGAGCTCACATTAGAATCACTGGAGAAGAAGCTGGGGAGTTACATGTAGTTTGGTTAGTAGTGCTTGCTGTGCAAACATGAGAGCCTGGTTTTGATTGCCCATGTCTGTTTATTGCCTGTGTCTGTTAACCAGTGTTAGGGTGCGAGAGGAAGAGAAGAGAGAATCCTTGAGCTCACTGGCCAGCTAGTCTAGCCAAAACAAGGAGCTCTAAACCCTGTCTCAGAAATCAAAGTGAAGAGTGATAAAGGAAGATATCCAAATCAATTTCTAGCCACTATAAGGATGCAGTGCATGGGCAGTTGCCTATGCACATGCACATGCATGCCAGGAAGCAGGGAAAGATGAATGCTACTTCTCATTACCTTTTCATTTTTATTCGTTCTAGAAGTCTTGGTCATGGAAAGATACTGCCCATGTTCAGGGTGGGTCTTCCCATGTCAGTAAAGCCCCTTTGGAAAGCCTTCCTAGACTACACCCAAGGGTTTATCTCCCAGATGAGTCTATTATAAGTGTCTTGAAGTTGACAATCAAGATTAACCAGCATACTCAGAATAACTTGGAAGTACTGAAAATATGCAAACAGCCTAACTTACCCCTGAAGTTTCTGTGTAGGGGAGATGTTTGCCTTTGTTTTTAGAGCTCTTAAGTCATGCATCAGAGATACAGACCTAAGGGGTATTGCTAGGAATCTAATCCAGTCCTTGCAAATCCCAGACAGACCCTACCCAACTAGACTTGTTCGATTCATGCATCTTTTAATGTTCCTTCTAGATTGTCCTAGATTCCTAGAGTACTATGTCCTGGAGGGTAGGGATAGGGGTAGGATGTGGGTGTGTGTTAAATTAATAGTACCTTGAATTTCCTTATGATTTCCACTTGGTAATAATGTGGAACAAATTTTTCTTTCATCATGCTGGGAATTAGACCCAAGACCTCCCATATATTAGTAAGAAGTTGTATCTCTAGAACCAAAGAAACCTTTAAAAAATAACTGCATTCTTTGTAATATCCAAAGCCAGGTTTGTATGAACTTGTGATATTTCCACCTCTGCCTCCAGAATGCTTCTGATGTTACAGGCATTCACCACTGCAACAATGTGAGTGTGGCTCACTCACACCGCTTCAAAGAGTCTAACATTCTCTTTGGCCTCCATGGGCATCTATATACATGTGACATACACACACGCACACACACAGAAAAGTCATAGGGGTAGACGTTGATACTTCCTTAAGATATACAAACATTTTTGTTGTTTTGATTTTTTTTTGAGACAAGGTTTTTTTGTATGTCCTGGCTTTCCTGGAACTAGGATCTGTAGACCAGGCTTGCCTTGAACTCACAGAGATCCTGCCTTCCTCTTCCTCTTGAGCACTGAGATTAAAGGTGTATGCTACCACTGCCCGACAAAACACAAACAATTTAATAAAATCATACTGTGCACCAAAGTGAGAGCCATGAATACTGACTTGCTGAGTGGTCTTTTTTTCTTTAGTAAAATCAGAAAAATTTTTGTAGATAGTCTAAATATCAATTTTAAAAATACTTATTTAAGTCTGGGAAACTACTTTGTATTTGAAGAAAATTTTTTGTTTGAAAACAGGAATTAGTTATATCAATCCTCTCACAAGTACATGGCTGCCTCATAAGATTTTTGCCATGTGTGAACATAAGTGATGGGCTAATGATGCATGTCTATAAATGTACCAAAAGGCAGAAGAAAACTGAGTAGAGAAATGATTACATGCACTGTGGTGTATCTGCAGCAGGTAAGCGTCTGAAGGGTTTATACCACTGAGGAGACAGAAGTCTTTCATATCTGTCTGTAAGGGGGACAGGTTTAGTCATCTTCATAGACCATTTGTGTGTGGTATAAAGCTGAGGCAAAAGCCGTATCTGAAGGGACAGACTAACTTTCTGCCATCTTGTTAAATATTAAGCTTTAAAGCACTAGTTGTTTCTCTAGAGATGGATCTTTGGGTGTCACATGCCATGGATCACTGGGACTTTGTCTTGGAATGTTGTTATATCTAGTAGCTAGATAAGGCTCCATGCAGTTGAATGTTGTTAAAGTGCAGAAACTTTAACATTTGTCTTGGGCTTTTTTATCTTTGGAGTTTTCAGTAAGAACAGTATTCTTACTATGGAGTATGTGGCACCAATATTTATAGTTTAGTCATACCTCAAAATGTTATCTTAGCCAGGACTGAGGAAGCCTCAGCAGGAGGATTTCAAATTCAGTGACAGCAGGTTCTCCAGACCAGACCTCACTACAGAATTCTGTCCTACCTTAAAATGATAACAGTTTTTTACTGTTTCATCAGTTGAAAACTGAATTTAAACATATTAGGTAGAATGCTCCTATAATGTTAAATTGGGAATCCACCGAAAAGATTCAGAAGTATGTCAGTATCATGTAATAATTGATTTTCTAAAGTTAGCAAATGATGACAAAATTAAACTACTATAGTCTGCTAATAGGGTTGCTGTCTCTTTATGGAATATACAGGAAAAACTGCATGTGAAATTAATTAAGGAAAATTGTGAGTTGATTTATTTCAAGCTTTTAAATAGAATAGTGATAAAGTTGTATTTCACATAAGCCTTGCCTATGATTCACACATTTTCAGCTGTTGCCCTGGCCACAAAGTGGTCCAACATGATGGTGCATTTCTTTAGTCCTACCACTGGGGAAGTGGAGACAGAAGGATAAGCACTTGAGGATCATCTTTGGCTACAATTTTAAAAAGTGGAAAGAAAAAAAAGAAGTGTTTGTGTGTGTGTGTGTGAGAGAGAGGGGGGGAGGGAGGGAGGGAGAAAGAGAGAGAGAATAGGCAATATGTAACAAGATTGAAAGCTGCTAGAAAAAAAACTAATCCTACTTATTCATATCCTACTGTACCTGCTGCTTTTAAATCAAAAGCTCTGTATGTTGTCCGTGAGAGATTTTATAAAGAGTGTCAGTCTCTCATTAATTAACTTTCAGATTTAACTGTTCTGAAGCTAAATGAGACTATAGCGGAAACCTTAACACTAAGTCTACCAAACCCCATTCTTTATTATTTTGGTACAACTACTAGTAATATAGATATATTTAAAATGAAGATTTTATGTTGCATAAGGATGCTTGGAACACTGGTGCCAAGTTGTGACTCTGCCAGGCAACGTGGGACCTATGGTTATTCTCTTTAGATATTGTTAGTGTTATTTTAAAATCTCATGTATGATGAGCTATTTGAGGTGCTCAGGAAATAAAGGCATTTGCTGCCAAGCCTTATGACCTGAGTGTGTGATCCCCAGGCAGCTCCCACATGGTGGAAGGAGAGAACTGACTCCTGCTGTCCTTTGGCTTCCACACATCTGCTGTGACACACACATCTACATAAAATCATAAAATGTAATTAAAAAAATCCTTTCTTTCTGGTAGGTACATATTCTGTGTGAGCTTTAAATTATGAATCTTAGTTCTAAAACAAAGAATATCCCTTCCTATGAGCTTTATCCAAAATAGACCTAAAGATGTTTTGACTCAATTTACATTAATTTGTTATTGTAATATGCTTCTTTCACTAGTGTGTGTGCTCACGCATCCTTGTGCACAGACAGGGCCATGTTTTTTATATCTGGGAACTTAAACATGGATCTGCAGTTTTAAGGGTTTTTTTTTTTTAATGTCCTCTGGTAACCATGAAAACATTTCAACACTCCATAACTCATGTTTTCCTTGAAAATTATAGCTGTACAAATGAATGGCAGAAACTGATACTATTCTGTTTGCTAAAAGAACTGATTTTATTTCAGCCCATTGTTACTCAGATTACACAGCTACTTTTAAAGTCTTCTTTTAGCTATAGGTGGCCTTGACTTATTAATAAGTACAAGTGTTTTATAGGACATGTGGGTCATCTCTGTATGCTCAGGAGGAGCACACCTGGCTGCTGCCAGGTAACTGTGGAGGTGGAGTTTAGATAGAATATTAACAGCTATGATAATATTAATACTAAAATCTATTAATGACTACAGTACAAAAAGTTATAGAGAAATACTTTGATATAGTTATGAGTTCTAACAGATGTACACAAGATGAACACAATATATATACATGGTTGTGTGTGTGTGTGTGTGTGTGTGTGTGTGTGTGTATGGGGAGAGAGAGACAGAGACAGAGAGACAGAGACACTGCTCTGACTCTTAGTGGTCATTCTAATGTCTGTTTTCCTTTCCTTTCAAAACAGAATTCCCAAATTACTAGACTGCCACACAAGAATAAAAAACCGATTTCTTTCTCCCACTTGAAAGTGGAAGGTCAATGGTAAAAGATTGACAGAGATGAAGTCCAGCTTTAACTTTCCTTAACCTCTTCTCTAAGGATGGGAATGATGGTGATAGTGGTGGTATGAGTAAGAATGGCCTCCATAGGCTGATTATTTGATTGCTTAGTCATCAGGGAGTGGCAGCACTTGAAGAGTTCAGAAGTGTGGCCTTGTTGGGATAGGTGTAGTCTTGTTGGAGGAAGTGTATCACTAGGAAAGCTGGGGATGGGGGTTCAAAAGCCCAAGCCAAGCCCTGTGTCACTGTCTATCTTGGCTAGTGGATCAGGATATAGCTCACAATACTTCTCCAGCACCATGGGTGCTGCCATGCTCCTGGTCACGATGATAATGGTCTAATAAACCTGAAACTGTAAGCAAGCCCACAATTAAATGCTTCTTTTGTAAGAGTTGCCTTAATCATGGTGTCTCTTCACAGCAATAGAAGAAGACTAAGAAGTGCTAAGGCCAGTAGAAGATCATATTAGAAAATCTGGTTCCGTATCAAATCAAATCCCCTGTCATCTACCCATATTTCAGAAGACCTAAAAGTATACCCAAGTCTGTAATTTGTTTTGAATTGTAGCACTCTCACCTATATTTGAGTTAACATACCATACTTAAATAATACTCCCATGATCAGCCTGGCTTAATCCATGCATACATGAACAGGCCAAAACCAAGAAATTATAAAATATGTCACTACCTCAGATGAGTGGAGAGAAAACCTTATGACAGATTAATAAAAGCATAATTATAACTGTTGGTAACAAATACAAAATAAAACAAAAGCAAATTAGTGAGATAATCTTTGTATTCATATGCTTGAAATAATCTTCATTTGAATCACTACAAACTCTGCAAGACTGATGACGTAGCATGTGTGAGGTCCCAGGTGCACTGACAGTACATAGGTAGTTACAAATACAAATTTGGGAGCAAGTGTGTGTGTGTGGGGGTGTGTGTGTGCGTGTATAGCAAGAGGAATGTTCAATTTATATATTTTTAGGTCAAGTTGTATGCCACAGACACAAATAAATATTGCTCTATGTTTATATGGTCTTCATGATATTTATTTGTATAGGATTACAGGTAGTAAATTTTAATTAGTTTTTAGAAAGAGGATATTAGGAGTTTGGCAAGATTCTATTTTTTCTGCCAATAGTGGCAAATATCATATTTAGTATTTTAAAAGATTATAATGAAATTTTTAAGTAGTTATATTTGGCTTGTCTTCACTATTCCTGGAAGAAAAATATTTCTGAATTTCATCTACATAAACTTGAGTAATCATTATAGCTAAGTCAATTGTAGTTAGTATGATTTGGGTAAAATCTTGCTGTGTGCTAGGATAATCAGTTCTTTTTTGCAGTAGCTAGTCTGACATTTTAGGGCAGGACAGCATCATGGGGGACATGCTGTACTATAGAGTCCTGAGTAGCATGCCTGTAGTTTGAAGTATGTAGGGGGTATTGAAAAATGTATATTTCAGCCAAGGTCTGCTTATTACTGCTCAGTAGGATTATCATAAGAACACAAAATTTAGCTAATAAAGTGAGAAAGCCTATAATGTTTAAGAAATAAACTAAAATTTTACATATAACTCATCCAGATCTTTTTGGTTGTACTAGGTACAAAATTTATATCATAATCTTCCTTAAAATTTGTTGTTCATTTGTTTGAACCCTGGTTGGCGTGGAACTCTTTGGATCAGGCTGGCTTTGAACTCAGAGATCTGCCGGCCTTCTGACTGCTGGGATTAAAAGGCGTGTGCCACCACAGCCTGGCTTAAATTTTATTGTTTTAATTCTTTTTATTTTGCAGTATAAAAAATTGAAAAGGGTTCTTTAAAAATATATTAGTGGGCTGGAGAGATTGCTGAATAAGGTTAAAAGCACTGGCTGCTCTTGCCGAAGACCCAGGTTCAGTTCCCAGCACCCACATGGAAGCTAGGGACTCCAGGAACCTTCCTGGTTCCTTGGGCACCAGGCATGCTGAATGTACATACATGCATGCAGGAAAAACATTTATACCCATAAAAATAAACATACACAGGAGACATTTTGAACATTGAGTTTAGAGGTATAGTCATACCTCAATTAGTGGTTGGCATGTTTTCTGAAAATGCAGTGAAACATCCTAGAGTAGAGGCCTCAATCTGTGGGTCATGACATGTGGGGGTTGAACTATTCTTTTACAGTGGTTACCTAACACGATTAGAAAATACAAATATTCATATGATAATTCATAGCAAGAAAAATTACAGTTATGAAGTAGCAGCAAAAATAATTTTATGGTTGGGGTCACCATAACATGAGGAACTATAAGGGGTTGTAGCATTAGGAAGGTTGAGAACCACTGTCCTAGAGTGTGCTTACACAGACCTGGGCAGTATACTTTACCTACTACACTTAGGTATGTATGGTATATGCAGTTTAGCTTATGTCCCAGACTGCAAACCTTTGCATATTGACTTTGTGCAAACCTGTCACTGTATTTAATGCTATAGGTAGTTGTAGTTAAAGTGTTGTATATCTAAACTTAGAAAAGGTATACCCATGTTTAATGCTTACCTCATCAAAGTGATACAAGACTCTATGAAGCAATTAATTGATTTATCCTAATACTTTTCCTCAAAAAAAAAAAATCAGACAACAGTTAAATGTAATGGCCACAGTGAAAAACCAAAAGTGGGTTCATAAAGAGGTGGTTGGTTTTATTTCCCACTCATATCATCAACCCACAGCTCCGTGAATTTCAAGTGCACTAGGTCAAGTGTGGCAATTTAGTTAATGTAGTATGTCAACCCAAATTAGTTTCAGTAATTAAAAAAAAAATCTTATGTTTTTTAGCTAATGGGAATGACAACAAGAAATTTAAAGGAGATAGACCTCCCTGTTCGCCTTCCCGTGTTCTCCATCTTCGAAAAATTCCATGTGATGTCACCGAAGCAGAGATCATATCATTAGGTCTACCATTTGGCAAAGTAACTAATCTTTTGATGTTGAAAGGAAAAAGCCAGGTACGTAATATTTAAAGATCAACACTGAGTGATTATCTTCTGGGTGTTAGTATTTCATATAATTTTTATTTTCTTGAACTTAAAATTAACTAGTTGATTTGAGATGGCGCCTCTGTGTTGCTCTGGCTGATGTAAAGTTCATAAGCTCAAGTGACCTTTTTAAAGTTCAGCCTTCTAAGTATCTAGGACCACAAGGGTGTATGCCACCTTGCTGGCTGTTCAGCTTTTCTTACTATCTGTGACCACAAATTAATTTTTTCCCCCAAGACTTTATTTATGTATGTGAGTACACTGCCGCTGTCTTCAGACACACCAGAAGAGAGAATTGGATCCCATTACAGGTGGCTGTGAGCCACCACGTGGTTGCTGGAAATTGAACTCAGGACCTCTGAAAGAGCAGTCAGTGCTTTTAACCACTGAGTCATCTCTCCAGCCCCCCACAAATTAGTTTTTAAGCCGATATTTTTTCCTTGTTTGACAACAAACAAAAATTAACACAATAAACAGGAGAATTTCTTATCTATTTATTTGGGGTCCTTTTCTTTAAGAGCTATTTTATATTTTACTTACTTGATGTTTCCAACCATAGGATGATTCCTAAAAATATCCTGTAATACCTAAGAGACCCTGATAGAGAACTGATAAACTGCACTTTATTTGTCCAACTAAAGAACAGTTAAGTTTTCCAAATGATGCAGTTATCATTAAGCTAAAGATCTAAGGGTTTTTCATGGGATTTAAGAGTTGGGAGCAGCTGGGCATAGTAGCATATGCCTTTAATCCCAGTGCTACAGAGGTAGAGGTAGGTGAGTCTCTGAATTCAAGGCTAGCTCTGTACATAGTAAGTCCCAGGACAGCCAGGGCTATGTTGAAAGATCCTGTCTCATAACCAAAACAACAGCAACAAAAAGGTTTGGGAGCTACATCATTTGTAAAATAAAATTGAATGTTTATCTAGATATGACTGAATAGTTAGTGTTTTTAAAAGTGGAAGCAAACATTTTTTAAAGGCTAGAGATTTAGCTCAGCAGATAATTTAGAGCCCTAGTTGCTCATGCAGAGGACCTAGGTTGAGTTTCCAGACCATAAGGGTGGCCCATAGCTGGCTGTAACTGCCATTCCAGGGATCTGACTGACATCCTCTCTAAAGCTCTGTGGGCATCAGGCATACATCTGATGCACATATATACAGTCAGGCAAACACAGAAAATGAATATTGTTGGGCGGTGGTGGCACACGCCTTTAATCCCAGCACTTGGGAGGCAGAGGCAGGCGGATTTCTGAGTTCGAGGCTGGCCTGGTCTACAGAGTGAGTTCCAGGACAGCCAGGGCTATACAGAGAAACCCTGTCTCCAAACAAAACAAAACAAAACAAAAAAAAAAGAAAATGAATCTTTTTATAATGAATTGGTTTACAGTAGGCTACTTTTCTTGGAAGAGTTCATTTCTTTTTGTATTTTTTTTAAAAACTGATCTTTGCTTTGGTCCATTGTAGCCTGTTGCTTTAGGCTAGCCTGAAACAGTGTCATGTCTCCTGCTTCCATAAAACCAGTATGCATATTCTAGTTGTAGAATTATTATGTAACTTCTTTAATAATTTGAGAGACATAGAGAAACTTCATTATACAGATGAGTTTTTACATTAAATTGAGTTTCAAAGATTTTTACTTATTTTTGATACTTTTGTGAGTTTCATACATGGATTGGCCATAGCCACTCCTCTCTCCCAACTCTTCTCATACCACTTCCTCTTTCTTACCTATCAAACTCTTTTGTTTTTTAAACCTTTCAGGATACATTTTAATGGTTACATGCAAATATATAATTTCTGTGTATAAATGGATGTTTTTTGATGTTCTAATTCACGAATCTATCATATATTTAAATCAGATTAGAAACATCTGAAACATTCTTTTCATCCTTTCTTTCTCTCTCTGTTTTTTTTTTTGGTGGGGGGGAAACTAGGATAGAGGGAGCAGTTGTTAGGGTTTTTCTTGTGCTGGCCAAGTACTCAGGCTACAACCTGATAATATTATTTCTTTATGATGAAAACATTTAAAATCCTGTTGTCTAGTCTCTTTAATTATACAATGTATTATCATTATCTTTAAATACCTTACTAAGAAAAAACACAATAGACTTTTTACTTCTGAAGACAGCTTAGACAAGCTTAAACCAGTTGTGTTCAACCTGTGCGTCAAAACCCCACTTTCATGGAGGTTGTATATCAGATCTCCTGCATATCAGGTATCTACATAATGATTCACAACAGTAGCAAAATTATAGTTATGAAATAGCAAAAACAATGTGGTTGCAGTCCACAACATGAGAAATGTTGTGTTAAAGAGTTGAAGCATGAGGAAGGTTGAGAGCCACTGGTGTAGACACGGTTTTTGATCAACTTTTCCCAAGTCTTGTGTCTCATTAACTTCCCCAGCCTCTAGTAACTACCATTCTATACCTAACTTGTGTGAGAATAGCATTTTGAAAGATTCTACATGTCAGTGAAATAGTGTAATGCTTCTCTTTCTGTTCTTGGCATAGTTTACTGAACACAACAGTTCCAGCTCATTCTATTATATACAGGTATCATCACATTTTCTTTATTGACTCACTGGTTGGTAGATACTTAAGCTGGTGCTGTGTTTTGGCTGCTGTGAGTAGTACTACAATAAATATGAGAGCTCCGATGTCTCTGTGACCTTCTGATTTTGTTGCTTTTGGATAAACACCTAGTACCAGATTGCTAGCTCTATTTAATTTTTTTTTTTTTTTTATAAAATGAATCTCTATTCTGTGTGTAGAATAGTTACATCAGTTTATGTTCCCACTAGCAGTACAAACAAGGCTCTCAACACAGTTGTTTTGTTTTTTGAGACAGTGTCTCACTGTGTAGTCTAGGCTGGCCTTGAGCTCAAAGATTCCTGCTTCTCCCTCTTGATTTGTAGTATCAGTGATGTGTACCATCACTCCTGGCCTTGCCCTTAGTCCTTTTTGGTAATAGCCATTCTGTTATCAAGCAGCTAATTAAAAGTTTGATTTTTATTTCCCTGATTAGTGGTATTGAACTTTCTTTCTGAAATAGCTGTTGACCATTTGTTTGTTTTCTTTTGAAAAAAAAAAAAAAACCACTTGTTTAAGTCTTTTATCTGTCCTCTACTCACCATGGACGGGTCAAACTATCCTTTCAGCTATGCATCATGAGAACTCCTGTCTCGACCCGCTACCATCTGGAATTAGACCTGCGTACAATACTAGTGCTCTAACACCTGAGCTTTGGATCTGACCTTAGAGCTGTGTATAAATAGGCCTAACTCTATTGCTCATTTTAAAAAACAGAATCATTTTTTTGATCAGGTTATTTTTGCATAAATTTGAGATAGTCTTGTAGGTAGTTCTGAGTACTCAGTATGGCTGGTATGTTTATATTCTCTTTTAGATCAGCCATTAAAAAAGTAGGCAGACCTTGCTACATTAAAAGTTCTATTGTCAACTGCATGTGACAATAAGTTTTTAATCCAAGCACTCAGGAGGCCAAGGCAAGGGCCTGCTCTACATAGTGAGGTCAAGGACAGACAAGGTCTATGTAGAAGAGACCCTGCCCCTCCCCCAAGATTTAAAAGAACAAACCACCAATCAAAAAGGTTCTATTGCTAATTTAATCCATCACAGAAGTAATAACAATCTACATAGCTAAATCCATACATAGGCTAAACATGAGATGTCAAGAAGCTTCTTCTCTGACTTCCCCATGCTATTCCTCCCATCCTGTATTAGTATTATTAGGTGCCAAGTGTCCCTGAATGATTCCAATCAGTATTGACTTAATGTAGGAAGTTCCTATAGTTCTCTAATTTTAGAAATTGATCCTTTGCATCTTATTTTTAAAATAATCTTTATTTGGAGGGTTTGAAGCTCTTTTATTTTCTAATATTTCCAGCTCTTATGTGAAATGTGATGGATATGTGAACATCTGTGTTTTTGCTATTTGTTTTTTGAGACAGTTTTTCTTTGTAGCCTAGGCTGTTGTGGAACTTGCTCTATAGACTGGGCTGGCCTCAGCGATCCACCTGCCTCTGCCTCCCAAGTACTAGGATTAAAGGCAAGGGCTACTACCACTTGGCCAAATCTGTGTTTTTAAGAAACCCTCAACATTTATTTCTAAGCCCTGGGAACATTAGCTAAAATCATGTGGCCAACTAGAGGGTGGTGGATAAGATTGTAAGGTAGTAAGTATATGTTCAAAAAGATTTCTTCTTCATACGATTTGGAGCAAATGTGAGTAAGTGGATATGGAATGTAGCAAGTTCTTGGTGTCGAAAATTAATGCTGTCTGCTGTCTGCACACTTGATTTCTCATTGTGGGCTGGAGTTTTAAATCTTAAAGAAATTCTTACCATAATCTTAAATTGGGAAACCTTTAAGTAATTAAAAGTATCTATCTCACGTGTATAATGAAAAAAGTCACAGAGAATTTTTTTAAATGTCATATTACCCAGTCCTGTTCTTTGCTGGTAATAATTCAAAGTGCTGTGTGTGTGGGTGTGTGTGGGTGTGTGTGGGTGTGTGTGGGTATGTGTGGGTATGTGTGGATATGTGTGTGTGTGTATATGTGTGCGTGCACACACACATATACAAATGTCTAAACATATTTATGTGAATACAGTCTGTAAACAGCTAGTATATATACATAAAACAGAAAGATACTTTACACAGATTTATATGTAGCCTTCACTTTAGAGTATACAGGATGAGTGTAGGTTAGAAGTATAATTGAAAAATGAGATAAAACTGAATGTGAGAGCTGGCTGACTGGTAAACAGCACTGGCTGCTCTTCCAGTAGATCTGGGTTGGATTCCCATCACCCCCATGGTAATTCCCAGTTGTGTGTAACTTCAGTCTTGGGATCCATCTCACTTTTCTGGCATCTCTGGGCAATGCATTCATATGGGTATAGACATACATGAGACATAGAAACTCATACACATAAACTAAAATTTTTGAAAAAGAAAACAGAATGTGTGTGTTACTATTTTGAGTGGGTGCTTTCATACACTGATATTTTCTAGTTCTTTCCTGCAGAATCCCTGACAGACCACCTAACTAGCACTCTGACTTAACAGTCATTTCATGTTTGAGTTATAAGAGTTATAGATTGCTTATATAGCTGCATATTTTAATAGAGGAAACTGAGGGTCGCAGGTGTTTGTGACCAACTTACAGTAGATAGGTAGGTAGAGATTTAAATCAGGATTTTACTCAGGCAATGATGATTTCTCATTCCCTTGCTGTCAAATCAGATATGTTGGTTCCTTGGTGGCAATGTTTATGATGATAGAAACTCTGAAAAAACATTCCATTTCATCTGTAGATGGCTGGTGTATAAAATTGAAGATGAGCAAGTTATTATATACCCAGGTCTTATTTGAGAATTTAGGTAGAGTAGTACTTTTCAACCAACTGTCCCCTTTCCCCATCCTCCGACAGGGTTTTCAACTTGTCTTGTTTGTTTTAAAGTAGGGCCTTACTATGCTTCTGTACCAGGTTGTCCTGCAACTCAGGCTCTCCCAGTGCTGGGACTAAAGGTGTGCACTGCCACACTCACACTTGGACTCCTGTTTTTAACCTATTTGTCTTTATTGAGTGAAATTCTAGCATCTCTTTTGTGTACTCTAGCAGTTTAGCCTGATTTTACAAAAAAAAAAAAATTAGCTCCTAAGAATATTCATTTGTAATGGTGATATAAACATTTATTTTTACTTTTAGGCATTTGAAGAAATAGAAATTTAAAAACAAACATAAAACATAACAATAATTTAATCAAGTGGCACTTTCCTAAGTTGGAAACTTTTATTGGACCCAGTTTTTCAAATTAATTTTATCCTATTGGGAACAATGTCATGTATAGTGAGAAAGCACAAATTTAGACCAATGTGGAATGATTCTTAACCATCTTCTTATGTTTATTGCAGGCCTTTTTAGAAATGGCTTCTGAAGAAGCTGCTGTTACTATGATAAATTATTACACTCCTGTTACTCCTCATCTTCGAAGTCAGCCTGTTTATATCCAGTATTCCAATCACCGAGAACTTAAGACTGACAATCTGCCTAATCAGGCTGTAAGTATTATAGGCATCTGTAAGAATAATTATACAAATATATGGTATCATAACTTAAAATTAACTTTCTATACTTCAGAGAACCACCACTTTTTTCCTTTTAGTACACTTTATTAGGATTTCATATGTATATGTAATTTGTTCTTAAATGCTTAATAATAAAAACAGTTTCATTTGGAAACTTTGGAAGTTGTAGTGTTAGAAATGATACTTACTGGACTGTGCATGGGTAACAGTCTTTTTTTTTTTTCTTTTGTTTTTTGTTTTTTTTGGAGACAGGGTTTCTCTGTGTAGCCCTGGCTGTCCTGGAACTCACTCTGTAGACCAGGCTGGCCTCAAACTCGGAAATCCGCCTGCCTCTGCCTCCCAAGTGCTGGGATTAAAGACATGTGCCACCATCACCCGGCCAAGGGTAACATTCTTGTACATAATTCTAGAAGTAGGAAGCTAGACTACTCAGGGAAACTTTTCTCAAAATGAGCAAGAAGTAACATTCCCCCCCGACCCTCAAAACTGTTTTCATAATTAAGATAAAATCCTGTACCTCCTAAAATCAGAAATACGAAAGAAGTGCAGAAAATTGCTGGATTTGCCCTTGTTTTGACAGAAATCAAAAGCTTTGAGTTTGCCTTCCAGGGTCCTTTGTGTGTGTGTGTTAAGCACTCTCCCAGGATCTACATCCCTAGCCAGGAGTAGTTCTCTGTTGAGGTGTTAGGGAGGCAGTTTAAGATGTATAGAATTGCTCAAAATTTTCCTTTAAATGAGTTTTGACTCCTCAAGTGAATATGGCATGGTCTAACAACATAATGCTTTTATTTTAATATAGTTCATGGTGAGTCTTTTGTGTCTTTCCAGGTTCATTTTAAGTGGTTAAATAGAAATTTGATTTAACATGAAAAAAGCTTGTCTACAAAGCAAAGGCATTTTTAAAAAGTGTGTGTGTGTGTGTGTGTGTGTGTGTGTGTGTGTGTCTGTCTGTCTGTCTGTCTGTCTGCCTGCTTTTTATATGCATGGGTGTTTTGTCTTTATGGATGACTGTATGAAAATGCCAGACGCCCTGGAACCGGAGTTATAGACAGGTGTAAGCTGTCATGTAGGGGCTGTGAAATGAATCCAGGTCCTCTAGAAGAGCAGCCAGTGCTCTTCACCACTGAGCCATCTCTTCACCCCCTGTACTTTATTTTTTAAATATCTTCTAAAATTGAATATAATTATTTCACTTTCCTCTTTTCTTCTCTTTTCTTCAGCCCCTCCCATTCCCCAGATTCCTTCTCAAATTCACAACTGCTTTTTCATTATTATTATTATTATTATTTATTGCTTTTGGTATTATCCATCCTCAACTTCACATACAGGGTTTCTCTCTGTAGCTTGCTGATTCTCTTTAGTGTTGCTTCTGTGTATATGATTTCAGGACTGACCACCTGGTATTAGATAACCAATTTGAATACTCATCTCTGGGGAAGGCTAATTCTCCCTTGCTCAGCTGTTGTTAGTTTGTGGTTCTTTGTTTAAGAGGTGAGACATTTGAGATTTCTCTCTTCCAGTTTAACATCTTTATCTATGGGTGGTGTTCTTGTTTAGGCAGCCATATATTGAGGTAGGTATCATGGATGTGACTTCCCTGTCATTTCTAGGAGATACAGTCTCAAGACAGACTTTCCTGTCTTCTGGCTTTTATAGTCTCTTCCCCCATGATGTTCTTGAGCCTTGGGTGCAGAAGTTGTGTTGTAGATGTATCATGGCCCAGTTGCCGTCTGCATTTTTGACCAGGTATGGTTTTCTGTAATGGTCTCCATCTGGTGCAAAATGAAGCTTCTTTGATGAAAGGTGATCATCTGTGGCTATAAGGATAAGTATTTAGGTTAAAAGTATTGGTGAGATCAGGAATTCAAGGTTCATACCTAAACATAATAAAAGCAATATACAGCACACCACCAACATCAAACTAAATGGAGAGAAACATGAAGCAATCCCACTAAAATCAGACACAAGACAAGACAAGGCTGGCCTCTCCCCCATGTATTCATTATAGCACTCGAAGTTCTAGCCAAGCAATTAGACAACAAAAGGAGATCAAAGGGATACAAATTGGGAAGGAGGAAGTCAAGATAACACTATTTGCAGCAGATGATCTGATGATACATATACATATATCTATATCTATATCTATATCTATATCTATATCTATATCTATATCT